CAGGATGATAAGCCTCGCCTTGCCTGAGCGACCTGCCGATAGAACGCGTTCCCTCCGAAGTAAAAGAATTCACGTTTGCGAAGACAGAGAGAGAGAGAGAGAGAGCGCAGGACTGGTTTGTGAATGAAGGAGCGGGGGGCTCAATGGCCCCGGTGGCCGGTGTGCCTGGCGGCGGTGCGTCCGCAATGTGCGGATTAAAGGCTCTTTACCGGCGAGCCGCGCGTCGCCAATTCATCGAAATGTGCGAGTAGTGTTCCGACAAACGAGCCGGTGGACCGGGAGTAGCGAGCAAGGAGCGAGAGAGACGGAGGCAAAAAGGAAGGAGAGGGGGTGTAGAAAAAGAGAAAGAGAGAGAAATGGAGGCGGGTAAAATGTTAGCGAAAAGTAATCTGTCTACGAGTGAGATGTGGTTTGCGGCATTCCTCCACGGAGCCTCCCGTCCCGTCGGCCTCTCCTCACCGCGCAGTTAGCAAGCGGGGCGTGGCGGGGCGTGGCGCGGCGTGGCGGGGCGGGGCGGGGCGGGGCAGAGCGAAGAAGCGCGCGCAACATGGCCGACGCATTATGGCGGCTCGCGGGGATGTGGCGACGTTATTTCATCGCGAGACCGTCGTATGTCCAACACTCCCCACCACACACCACCACGCCCCCCCCAGCTTCCACACACTCCACCGAGAAATCCGCTTTCGGTCAGTCGCCGCTTTTTACCCAGGGTGTGCTGCTCCACAAAGATTTGCCGCACGCAGAGTATGCAAAGAAAAAACATATCTATTCCTTTATTTGAAGCGTGCAGGGCAGGAGTGTGAAGTTATCATGGTTGCACACCCCAAATTCCAAAATTGACGGCGGCGGCGAAGGAAGTATTTTTATATTTAAAATGGCCTAGAAATTTTTGGCTTTGGACCACGCATAATTTTTTCCCTCGAGAATGTTAGAGAAAGAAAGTTTTCCCTGAATCAAAAAACAAGAATACTGTTGATTCAAGCGACATATAATTAAAGAGAGCACATTTCTATGATTCAAGAAAAATTATCGTTGGTCTCCGAAGCGAAAAATGGCTAGACCGTTTTTCAGGAACATTTGCGAGATTTTGTTACTGATGAAAAACTTGTCTGTCAGCGTACGTCCTGTAGTATTGCAGTGTGAAGCAGGCATGCGGCATACATAAAAGTGCGTTCCTGCGCGCGGCTACGCTCCGTACCGGTAGTAGTCCTCCTTGCAGAAGATGTGGCCGCCCCTGCTGAAGCAGGTCTGCTCGGAGGCGAGCGTGGCCCTGCACTCGGAGCAGCGCAGGCAGGACGAGTGCCACTGCCGGTCCACGGCCAGCAGGTAGTAGCGGTCCGCGATGCGGCCGCCGCAGCCGGAGCACAACGCCGCCCCGGCGCCGCCGCCGCCGCCCCCAGGACCACCCCCGGGGCCGCCGCCGGGGCCGCCGCCCGGCCCCACGGCCTCGGCGATCGTCGCGCCGCCGCCGCCCGCGGGAGGGTCCCCGCCGCCGGCGCCGCCCCCGGCCCCGCACGGCGGGCTCGTGCTCTCCCGCTCCTTCAGCATGTCTGACCTGCCAACAACGACAAAAATGGAAATATGGTTAAATCTGCAACAAAACCGATCGAAAATGTTAAACAACAACAAAACATCGACATCATCTCACTACCACCCACTGTGAAAAATAGTAGGTCGGTTTACAGGAAAATTTTCCTTGACGCAAGTTGTAAAATTACAATAAGGAATCGTAAAAATACATGCAGTACATATCGACTTCAAATCCATTGGCGAGTAAAAATTGTGCTCTCGTAAATTTACGACTTAAATTATAGTTCAAGTTTACATTTTTTTTGTAAATTTACGACGACATTGTTTACAGTGCCCCTTCCACAAAACAACACGGTGTGTAATTTTTTGGTGAGAAAGGGTAAACTTTTATATAAGAATTTACATATATGAGCGAAAACTCTCCAGATTCTAACGGATTTTGTGGAATAAAAATCCTCAGAAATGTGGGTATTTGTAACCAGTTCCTCAAAGTTTTCCTCCTTTCCTCAAAAATTTAGACGTTGTTTTTACTGTGTAGAAATGAAACGACACAAAAAAATGATTATTGCGTCCGCACTGGCACGTCAAACGCGTCAACCCTGCGAGGGTGACCGTCATTCGGACTGCCTGCCTCCGCCTGCCGCCCCCGCCGGTCACGACTGTAGCGGCCCGAGCGGCCCCGGCGGCCGCAGACAAACGAGACGCGCGGTCAGCGCGCTGATTTATGTGACTGACCGCTTTGCGAGCTGAGCTGAGTCTGCTGCGCCGCCGGAGCTGCGCGGGATAAATAATAAAATTTGAATCAATTTGAATGCATGCGCCATCATAGTCCCCGTCGACGTAGGCGGTGTCGCTCATCACGCTCTGCGCTGCGGTGGGGCGGGGCGGGGCGTCCGGCCCGTCATCATAACACTTTCCAATAATGAGGAGATTTCCGCAGGGGGTGGCGCTGCGCTCGCTGCGCTGTGGCGTGGCGCTGCTGTCTGCTCACTCGGCTAATTATCTGGGGAGGATGGAAAGGGGGGGGGGGAGGTGGTTGGTTGATGTGTATGGGAATTTATTCTCTCCACCTTATCCGGCTGCTGCTGACCGAATAGCGGCGGCGATGCGTTGTGCTCTCTGTCACTCTTTTAAAGGTGACCCCTTTCTTTTCTTCCTTGTAGTCAATTGCGAGGAAATTAAATAAGGAAATCCAGAGGAAGATATAGCAAGAGCATCTTTGAAAGGACTGAAAACTGCCCCGGTTGGGTGCAGCACTGGAAATCCAAAAGTGTACGAGCGTCGTCGCACCTGCGGGTTAGCGAATTCGCTTACCCGCAAAACAATGAACACACTCAGGTTGTAGGCAAATTAATGTCTATGGGGCTGCTAGCGTGCGGGTGGGTGTTGCCCATTGTCTAGAGAGTCATGGAGTCTTACGGCCCCTACGAAATGGGCAACCCGCACAGCTGCGTATGTGGTGTGGTGTGGTACAGCCAAACATACCCAAAATTAAAAGACAGCGCCCGACACCAACCTTTTTATTCGCCTACAAGACTGTGAATGAGTTCTAGTAAACCTACACTTGCAGAAAGGTTTGCAACAATCGCACACTTAATTCTTTCAAAACTCAGAAATCATTACAATTACAAATATTATCTCGATTATTATTTTTTATTTGAAATATTTTTCCCTTGCAATACGCATTGCTGAAATTATGTGTTGGAATTCTGTCCACACTCCCACTAGTCATAAATAAAATATATGGTAATCGCAATTGGATTTCCACCACACAAAATTGTGCGAATTTTATCCCCTCTAGTAACAGTGCGGCTACGGCCGTGCTTGTTTATCTAACGTCCAAGCGCCAGCCAGTTTTATCCAATTTATATCGCGGCCGGAGTCCTTTATGACGCGGTATGTGTTCCGGAGAGGCTCCAGAAGAGAGAGCAGGCAGCAAAGCTTCGTCCCACAGCAATCTTCGAATAATAATCACTACAAACTTGCGTCGGCAATAAAAGTTTCGAAAACACGGCGCGAAGCGCGAAAACCAACAGAACGCGCGAGCAATGTGATTTTTACCAAGATATTTTTTTTTGTGCAAGAAATCAGTTTTCCTTTTCGTTATTAGTTCTCCGTCAGTACTTGCCCTATAATTGCCACTCGGTAAGTAGTTGGTCGATCTGCTACCCCTACAGCTAGGATCTTGCCCGGTTGCCACCGGCTATAGCTGTTTTGCTTCCCTGGACGTTTCCTAAGTTTCTCTCTCTCTCTCTCTCTCTCTCTCTCTCTCTCTCTCTCTCTCTCTCTCTCCCTCTGTCCCTGCGACTGGCCGAGCTGTGAAAGCACATTGTGGTCGGGCCTACATAAATCTCCCCGCACTGGGCATTGCCGACCGGGCCGGGGCATGCACGCCAATGGCAGCCAAAGGCAGAGACTCGGCTCGAACGATTCGAACGCGTCCACGCCCGGGAGGCGGGGCGGGGCCGGGCCAGCAAAGGCGACCGCGCGACCAGCGGCGACCACCACCGCCCTGCGGGGCTCTGCACTCACACACAGCCCCGCCGGCCACTGGTCCACCAGCATTGTATGCAAACGGTTAAAAGGAAAAACAAGCGAACGGCCACCATTTCAAAATGTATTCCAAATGCAATAGAAAACAGATGGCGGTAGGGCGATAGGGCCGCTGCCGCAACCGGCCCGGGGAATGACTTACAATAGCGATGCAGCAGCAGCTGCAGCTGTGGCGGGCCGGCCGGCGGCAACTACCCCCTTGATCCAGTCGCGCTCCACCCAGACCCAGTGCTATTGCCGCCCCGCCAGATCAATTCACACCCGACCACACGACTTTGGAAACTTTTATCTTTTAGAGTGTAAAAAGATAACGTTATTAAGAGTGAAAGCACATGTGTTAATTCGCAATAACTGTAAATTTGTATGTTTTTGCACAAACGTTTGCGCTAATCAAACTCACCAAGTAACCACAACTAGCTGGTTACTATATACTGTATACTTTGAACCCAGTTATGCACATAAAAGTTCGGCGCTGAACAAAAATTGTCCTCAGCCATTCACAGTGCAAACAAGTGTTCAAATCAACGCTGAAATGTGTGCAAAAATTCGATTTCTTGAAATTTGTACAAAGAAAAGATACACAATCGAGTTGGTGTGAGGCCTCTGTCTTTAAAAGGAAGGATTTACCAAGCCACGGCTGAATTTACTCTTAAAGTGTTAATGGACAATTTTGTTCCTAAAAAACGAACGTTTCCTTGCACATACAGAAGGGATACAATGTTGTTCTTAAAACTGGACTAACTGTAGAAAACTTCACACAATTTGTCTTGTTTTAGAGACAGAAAATTGCATCTTTTCTGGATGTGCACGGGAACGTTCCTATTAAAGAAACGGAATAGTCCCTTTACATATATTTAGAGTGTACTTATAATGTGTCTGAGTAAAGTGTAACGCATTTATGACATGTCCTCTGCACGTGTCTCTCTTCTTCCATTTCCCTCTCCGTCCCGCTCTCCACCTGTCCCTGCTCCCCCCCCCCCCCCCCCCCCTCCCCCTTCGCTGGCCGGTGTGCCCCATCACGACTCCTTGCTAGTTCCGCGCCTCGCCGAGAGAGCGCCCCACGTCCCGCTCCCGGCGCGCCGCTGTCCTGTCCGCGGCCGCCCCGCGAGAACACATCCTCTGCCGCTTTACTCTCCCTCTCCCCGACTCCCCCCTCCCTCTCTCTCCCTTGCTCTCTCCCCCGGTCCATTAGCCCGCCTTTTAGTTGGCAAATCACTGTCCCGCACGGAGAGGCGCGGACGGCACGTGGAGGGGCGTCCCCGCGCGTCCTCTGTGGTCCCGAGCGGCGCTCACCAGACTTTGCGAACGGAGAAATTTGTGACGTGAATATAGATTTGAAATGTATCCATCGAGACACCGCGAGGTTCTGTTCGACATCCCCGAGATGCCGTGTGTGTTTTTATTATTTCTTTCAAAAACATACCTGTCCCCGATAGCTAATTTCAGTATTACTTAGTCTTATGGCTGTTCCTGCTTAGGCTAAGCCAGTGTAGGGGATCAAAAACGGGGAAACTAACTCGTGAAATAGGTCGTACACCACTGTTGAAAACCTACGGGAAATATGTCTACAGTGCGCCATGTCAGTTTGTACAAGATGGACAGTAGTCAAACTGTACTTGCTTGCAGCATTTTTAACAGTGACCGACGCGTCAAACTGATAGGAAGTAAATGCCGAGTAATATGTGAAGTAAAGAACAATGAACTAGAGAGAAAAATACGCGGAAATATGAGGTGAAATAGTCCTGAATGCCACTGAAATACCCCGAAATAATCCAAGTTAGGTCGAGAAATAATCAATCGAAATAGCGTGAAATGGCTACGCTGTGTGTGTATGTGCGTAAACTTTAGGGATTTAAAGAAAAGGACACAATCTCAAAACTTAAATCCGCAAGGTAAAAATGCTGCTCTTTTGCCCGAGGGTAGGGTGGTGCGCCGGCAAAAGAAGGCCGGGAACAAAACTTATGCGCCTCACGTCAGGCAGTATCGTTTGCAACAATTGGCACGACTGCTGCGGCCGGGCTGCACACACTTGTGCGTCTGGCGCGCGCGACACGGCACGACCGGGGCGCTTCCGGCTCGCACACGTCGCAACAAACGGATAATGATAAAAGTTACGATTATTATGATTATTCGACGTTTAAAGGCGAGCAACATTGTAAACTCGGCGGCGCGTCTGAGAGCGCCGCGGCCGTCACCGTGGTAATGGCTAGCTGCACACCGTGAAGAAGAGAGAGACAAGAGCGGGGATGGGGGAGGACAGAGAGGAGTACAGAGAGGGGGACCGTCTGAAGTGCTATGGAAACGGAAGTCACACACCTGGGAGTGTGTGAATGCCCATCCGTACACTGGACGGTGTAAAGGAGGCACACACTACTTGTGCCTCCATGAGTACGAATGGCGTTCACACACATCCAAGAGTGCGACATTCACACACTTGGGTGTGTGCTGGTGGTGCCGGTGGTGGCGGTGGAGACCTGGACGCGCCGCGCAGCCGCCGCCTCCGCCTCCGCCCGCCACCGCCTCGGGACGACACTCTGTACTCACCGCTGTCCGGCTAGCTGTCCGTGGCGCGGTCGCGGGTCGCCGTCCCCACCGCGGCCGCGGCCCCCCGCCGGCCCCGCGCCGCCGCCGCCCGCTCCTGGCCGCTCCGCGCGCCGATCATCGAACCTGCCGGCGCCCGTCTGCAGCTGCAGCTGCCGCGAGCGAGGTGCCAGCTGCCGCTGCTGCCGCTGCTGCCCCGCAGCTCCCGCAGCTCATGAATAACCATCCCCGCCGATCGACATCGTCGTCCTCGTCGTGGTCCTGGCGGGCGGGCGTCGGCCGCCGTGCCGCGTCTTTCGGGAGGCAGCCCCGGAGCCGTGCCGGCCCTGCGCCGGGCCGTTCCTTGTAATCCGCGCTCGTGTCTGTGTCGACAATTAGAGCCGAGCTCGTGCTCGCGCCGCGCGCGCTCTCTGGCCGTGGCGTGGGCGCCGCTCGGCTCGCCGCGGCGCTCGCGCTGGCGCTCGCTCGCTCGCTGGTCGCGCGGTGGCTGCCCCGCCGGGTAGGGCCGGGGTGGTGGCACGTACTGCAGCCCGGGGGTGGCGGCTCCCGCTTGTCACTCTCCTCCCGCTTGCTCACTCGCGCGCTCTCTCTCTCTCACACGCTCGCTCTCTCGCTCGCTCTCGGGCACGGCGGCAGGTTGCCTCCCGGCGGGCGGAGGGACTAACAACGCACCCGGGCGGCCGCGGCGCCACTGCCGGGCCGCGCCCCGCCGCGCCCCGCCGCGCTCTCACTGGCCACCCCCACCGGCCACCCC